GCTGACCTTAGCATCACTGCAGACTCGACTTTCTCTTTCAGAATTAGCATATATACATACACTTTATTTAGACAACATGAAACTGATCTGTATGAGCAATAACCACATGTATAAAACCTAGACAGGGCTGTAATTAAGAGCCGGGGGCCAGGGCTTTCCCCCGGCTGATATGAACGTGGCCCCTGGCTAGGGCGAAGAAAAATAGAAGAAAAATAGAACTAAAAGAAATCCCTAGCTGTTTGATTCTCTGCTTATTTGTTGTATTTACACGGGAACTTGAAATTTATTGACATCCGACATGAATAACCATCCACAACACATGAATATAGTGTAAAGTAACCTATATCTGGTCATGATTGGAAAAGAATATGAAACATACCCTGATGGTTGAATCTCTAGATAATGTTCGCTCATAATCCAAAAAATGACAAGATCAGCTGAAATATTCTCCATTTTGTGATATATTGAAGTCAACATACACATCACCTCATACGTAAGGTCCCTACTTACCAGCGCATGCGAGTACGCAGGCTAAGCCAATCAGCGCCCGCTTCATGATTGCTGATTGCTTTAGTTGAAATACAACAATAATAATAATAATAATAATAATAATAATAATAATAATAATAATAATAATAATAATACTCAGAAACGCATATAGAGTGTAATACATTTATAGCTCTAGCTTCCAAACATCCGTCCCACGCTTGTGAGCCCCATTCGTTGCAGATAAATCAACGTTGGAGATAACAGGTTATTTCAAGAGCCATAACTTGTTATTTTTTATCATAATTTTTACCTGCCTTATGACAACAATAGTGCAATTGGTGGACAGCCTATAGGGAGATTTAAAACGTACCTAGCCTGCCGGCGGTGTTACACTCCCGATGCGCACAGGTACTCGCTACTGGTGTATTTGGTACTTGTACTACACTCGTCTAAAAACAGTTTTCCATATTTGCACGCTGTAAATATCTTCGTACAGTAGCGAGTAGACGTTTACTAGCGTAGACCGAGAGTGCACTATCAAAAAATGGTGTCGCAAGCGCAAGATCAGACGATAGAAGGATTTTCTAACTCGTGCTCTGTTACATGTAATTATAAGCTCTTTGCACAAGACAGACTGCGAGCAGTCTCTCTTTTGCTCAAAAATCTGTAAGCAAGACTATTTGAGCAGCCAAGTCGAGCGAGTTGCGAGGGCGTGAGTTGTGACGGCGCGAATACAAGCGTATTTTAAAATGGGGACTACTCGTAGTCTATATGTTGTCCAGAGTTTTGAAAGCATATTTTGAAAGCTTAGAGATTGCTTTTTAATGGCATAAAATATTCTAGTTGCCATCAGTTCAAGAACATGACCACAAAATATGTGTATTAAAGTCCTTTCAATACGATAAGAAGCTATGCATATGCTCGTGTTTCGATGTTACAGTTGACTCCCGATAACTAGCCTGTGTGGTAGGCGTTCGAAAGGGAAGGGGAAGGGAATTAGGGCGCGAGCGGGGGAACGCCTGCAAGCAAGCCATTGTTTTCTGCATCCCGCCTACTGATTAAAAAATAACAAATATAAGGCAACTGTGAATGACTAGCTGTCAAATAAGTATTCTAGTCGTATTTCTCGCACTGTTTTTCTTTTGTTCTCCTGAAACAAGAAATCTAAAGTGAAGGTAAAGTTGCAACGACGCGTGCCGAGTTACATAAAATCCAGCATAAATCTATTCACGTTGTTGCTGAAGGAATCGAGCTGGAAAACTATGTGACAAGAAATGTAGCACATAGGCAGCATGATTTTTTCCTTTCTTTCTGCTAGTGAGTAAAACCGACAAGCCGTTGTAATAATAATAATAATAATAATAATAATAATGACTGTTTATTAAGACTCATTGCAGCAATATACAGAATGGCTGAATTAAAGAGCTATTTACAAAACATATAATACTAAAATATAATACAATAAATCCAATAAATACTAGAAATTATATTTGTACAAGCCACTAGGTATACTTATGCGTGACAAACTCTTGCGTGCGCTTGGTCCTACAGGTAGAACGCTTTGAGCGGCTAATGCCAGATCTTAGATTATAATTATGCACAACCTCCTCCTATTTGGGGAGCATAAAATGCAAGGGGTAATTTTCATTCCGGAGTCTATCAATATAAACCTGGCATGGATGTGCGCGTCTGTCACTTAGATTTGTTAAATTAATTAACAGTTAATGAATGAGGCTGAGTATCTTATGAAGAATTATGGAGATCGAGGAGGGTATTATCCGTCGAGGCCGTAGGCCGAGGAGGATAACACCCTCCGAGATCTCCATAATTCTTCCTATGATACGAAAGCCGAATTCAATAACTGTTTTATTATTCACTCAAAATAATTCCTAGTTTAAAAATATAGCTAAAACATGCTTACCTCCATCGATCCATCGATGTTTAGTTCATCTTCGATAGTGTATGTTTAGGTTTGTTCAGCTCTACAAATATTCTCCAAATAGCAGATGTC